ATCCTTCTCAAAAATAGATCATATATTATGTCACAGGGAAACTCTTAGACAATATAAAGGAGTAGAGATAATACCATGCATCCTATCTGATCATAATGGAATGGAACTGAAAATCAACGATAAAAGAAGGAAGGAAAAAGAATACATCACTTGGAGAATGAACAATAGGTTACTGAATGATCAATGGGTTATAGAAGACATCAAGGAGGAAATTAAAAAATTCTTAGAGATTAATGAAAACACAGACACAACATATCGGAATCTATGGGACACATTGAAAGCAGTTCTAAGAGGAAAATTCATTGCTTGGAGTTCATTCCTTAAAAAAAGAAAAAAACCAACAAATAAATGATCTCATACTTCATCTCAAAATCCTAGAAAAAGAAGAGCAAAACAACAGCAAAAGAAGTAGAAGGCAAGAAATAATTAAAATCAGAGCTGAAATTAATGAAATCGAAACAAAAGAAACAATTGAAAAAATTGACAAAACTAAAAGTTGGTTCTTTGAAAAAATAAACAAAATCGACAGACCCTTAGCCATGCTATCGAAGAGAAGAAGAGAGAGAACTCAAATTACTAACATACGGGATGAAAGAGGCAATATCACAACAGACACTTCAGAAATACAGAAGATAATCAAAAATTATTTTGAATCCTTATACTCCAATAAATTAGAAGATAGTGAAGGCATAGATAAATTACTTAAGTCATATGATCTGCCCAGATTGAGTCAGGAGGATATAGACAACCTAAACAGACCAATATCAATTGAGGAAATAGAAGAAACCATCAAAAGACTACCAACTAAGAAAAGCCCAGGACTGGATGGGTATAGAGCAGAGTTTTACAAAACCTTTAAAGAGGAACTAACATCAATACTTTTCAAGCTACTTCGGGAAATAGAAAAAGAGGGAGAACTTCCAAATTCATTCTACGAGGCCAACATCACCCTGATACCTAAACCAGACAAAGACACTTCAAAGAAAGAAAACTACAGACCAATATCTCTAATGAACCTAGATGCAAAAATCCTCAATAAAATTCTGGTCACTCGGATACAAAAACATATCAAAAAAATTGTGCACCATGATCAAGTAGGATTCATCCCTGGGATGCAAGACTGGTTCAATATACGGAAATCAATAAATGTTATTCACAACATCAATAGACTTAAAAATAAGAACCATATGATCATCTCGATAGATGCGGAAAAAGCATTCGACAAAGTACAGCATCCCTTTATGTTCAAAACTCTAGAAAAACTAGGGATAACAGGAACATACCTGAATATTGTAAAAGCAATCTATGCTAAGCCTCAGGCTAGCATCATTCTGAATGGAGAAAAACTGAAGGCATTCCCTCTAAAATCTGGAACAAGACAGGGATGCCCTCTCTCACCACTTCTGTTCAACATAGTTCTCGAAACACTGGCCAGAGCAATTAGACAGATGAAAGAAATTAAAGGCATCAAAATAGGAAAAGAAGAACTTAAATTATCACTATTTGCAGATGACATGATTCTATACCTAGCAGACCCAAAAGGGTCTACAAAGAAACTATTAGAGCTAATAAATGAATTCAGCAAAGTGGCAGGATATAAAATCAACACGCATAAATCAAAGGCATTCCTGTATATCATCGACAAATCCTCTGAAATGGAAATGAGGACAACCACTCCATTCACAATATCTTCAAAAAAAATAAAATACGTGGGAATCAACCTAACAAAAGAGGTGAAATACTTATACAATGAAAACTACAGAACCCTAAAGAGAGAAATAGAAGAAGATCTTAGAAGATGGAAAAATATACCCTGTTCATGGATAGGCAGAACTAACATCATCAAAATGGCGATATTACCAAAAGTTCTCTATAGGTTTAATGCAATGCCAATCAAAATCCCAACGGCATTTCTTGTAGAAATAGAGAAAGCAATCATGAAATTCATATGGAAAAATAAACGACCCAGAATAGCAAAAACAATGCTAAGCAGGAAGTGTGAATCAGGCGGTATAGCGATACCAGACTTCAAACTATACTACAGAGCAATAGTAACAAAAACAGCATGGTACTGGTACCAAAACAGGCGGGTGGACCAATGGTACAGAATAGAGGACACAGAAACCAATCCACAAAACTACAACTACCTTATATTTGATAAAGGGGCTAAAACCATGCAATGGAGGAAGGATAGCATCTTCAACAAATGGTGCTGGGAAAACTGGAAATCCATATGCAACAAAATGAAACTGAATCCCTTTCTCTCGCTATGCACAAAAGTTAATTCAAAATGGATCAAGGAGCTTGATATCAAATCAGAGACACGCCGTCTGATAGAAGAAAAAGTTGGCTACGATCTACAGTCGGTGGGGTCGGGCTCCAAATTCCTCAATAGGACACCCATAGCACAAAAGTTAATAACTAGAATCAACAAATGGGACTTACTCAAACTAAAAAGTGTTTTTCTCAGCAAAAGAAACAATAGGGAGCCTACACCCTGGGAACAAATCTTTACTCCTCACACTTCAGATAGAGCCCTAATATCCAGAGTATACAAAGAACTCAAAAAATTAGACAATAAGATAACAAACAACCCAATCAACAAATGGGCCAAGGACCTGAACAGACACTTCTCAGAGGAGGACATACAATCAATCAACAAGTACATGAAAAAATGCTCACCATCTCTAGCAGTCAGAGAAATGCAAATCAAAACCACCCTAAGATACCATCTCACTCCAGTTAGATTGGCAGCCATTATGAAGTCAAACAACAACAAGTGCTGGCAAGGATGTGGGGAAAAGGGTACACTTGTACATTGCTGGTGGGACTGCAAATTGGTGCAGCCAATTTGGAAAGCAGTATGGAGATTTCTTGGAAAGCTGGGAATGGAGCCACCATTTGACCCAGCTATTCCCCTTCTGGGTCTATTCCCTAAAGACCTAAAAAGAGCATGCTACAGGGACACTGCTACATCGATGTTCATAGCAGCACAATTCACAATAGCAAGACTGTGGAACCAACCTAGACGCCCTTCAATGGATGAATGGATAAAAAAAATGTGGCATTTATACACAATGGAGTATTACTCTGCATTAAAAAATGACAAAATCATAGAATTTACAGGGAAATGGATGGCATTAGAGCAGATTATGCTAAGTGAAGCTAGCCAATCCCTAAAAAACAAATGCCAAATGTCTTCTTTGATATAAGGAGATTAACTAAGAACAGAGTAGGGTCGAAGAGCATGAGAAAAAGATTAACATTAAACAGGGATGAGAGGTGGGAGGGAAAGGGAGAGAGAAGGGAAAATGCATGGAAATGGAAGGAGACCCTCAGAGTTATACAAAAGTACATACAAGAGGAAGTGAGGGGAAGGGGAAAAATAATATAAGGGGGACAAACGAATGTCAGTAGAGGGGGCAGAGAGAGAAGAGGGGAGGGGAGGGGAGGGGAGGGGAGCGGGGATAGTAGAGGATAGGAAAGGCAGCAGAATACAACAGACACTAGTATGGCAATATGTAAATCAATGGATGTGTAACTGATGTGATTCTGCAATCTGTATATGGGGTAAAAATGGGAGCTCATAACCCACTTGAATCAAATTGTGAAAAATGATGTATCAAGAACTATGTAATGTTTTGAACAGCCAACAATAAAAAATAAAAAAAAATGGCGATATTACCCAAAGTTCTCTATAGGTTTAATGCAATGCCAATCAAAATCCCAATGGCATTTCTTGTAGAAATAGATAAAGCAATCATGAAATTTATATGGAAAAACAAAAGACCCAGAATAGCAAAATAATTCTAAGCAGGAAGTGTGAATCTGGAGGTATAGCGATACCAGAGTTCAAACTATATTACAAAGCAATAGTAACAAAAACAGCATGGCACTGGTACCAAAACAGGCAGGTGGACCAATGGTACAGAATAGAGGACACAGAAACCAATCCACAAAATTACAACTTTCTTATATTTGATAAAGGGGCTAAAAACATGCAATGGAGGAAGGATAGCATCTTCAACAAATGGTGCTGGGAAAATTAGAAATCCATATGCAACAAAATGAAACTGAATCCCTTTCTCTCACCATGGACAAAAGTTAACTCAAAATGGATCAAGGAGCTAGATATCAAATCAGAGACACTGTGTCTGATAGAAGAAAAAGTTGGCTACGATCTACATACTGTGGGGTTGGGCTCCAAATTCCTTAATAGGACACCCATAGCCCAAGAGTTAATAACAAGAATAAACAAATGGGGCTCTGGGCTGCTTTCCCATCTTGAGTGGGCACGGAGCCCCAGCATGCTGGTTCAATAAATCCCCCTTCTGCCAATTGTATGAGTGGTCACTTGGTGGTCTCTTTCTCCGACGTTTCGCGCGACCCTTACATTTGGTGCATGGGCCGGGAAAAGCGCATTGCCAGACAAGGAGACCTCCAACAGACTCCTTTAGGGGACTTAAGGCTCTCGAACAAACCCAACAATTCCTGTGGAAGCAGCTGGCTACTGTCTATCAGCCCGGAGACGAAGGAACCCCACATAGATATCAAGTGGGAGACTTCGTCTACGTGAGACGGCATCAGGTGTCATCCCTAGAACCCCGCTGGAAAGGACCATACCAGGTGCTACTCATAACACCTATGGTGGTGAAAGTGGATGGAATCACTTCTTGGATCCATGCCTCCCATCTCAAGCCTGCACCCTCCCCAGACTCCAGCTGGAAACTGGAAAAGACTGGTAACACTTTCAAATTGCATATTTGCCGCATGGATAGGGCTATGGATTCTCCCCATGACCAGAAGCAGTCCTAATCCCCATCAACCTGTTCAGCAACAATGGCAAGTTATAAACCCCACTGGACAAGTAGTATGGTCCATTTCACAGACAGCCCCCTTATGGACTTGGTGGCCATCCCTACATCAGGACATTTGTCAACTGGCCATAGGCCTCCCTAACTGGGACCTCCCTGACATAGAGGACCCCGCGCAGATCCCGTTCAACCCCAAACTAGGGTAGCGTTCCCCAGGCGGACATATGCACTATGGATGTCATCGCCCTCATCATAGGTGTAGACTAGCCAGTCTTGATTATTATGTGTGCCCAGCTGATTTCCGAAGTCGCAAACAGGCCCGAACCTGTGGAGGGCCCAATGACTTTTATTGCAAATCTTGGGGTTGTGAACAAACAGGAGCTGCATGGTGGAAACCAAACTCCCCAGACAGTATGATTCAGGTAGGGCGAAACGACACCTGGATAAACCCTAAGAACTGTTTAGTTAGCCAAGTGTCAAGGACTCGCTGTGGAAAAAGTAGTCTATGTAACCCCCTCAATATAACTTTCACTTCCAAAGCAAGGGACTACCTCAGAACGACATGGCTTATGGGAAATACCTGGGGAATGCAATTCTATGTTTATGGCCCCACTTATGACTTTGGTCTCTGGTTCACAATCCGACTTAAGCAGGAAGAAAATCCTACCGCAATAGGGCCCAATCCCCTCAAGCCAGGAATTAAGCCTCCTAAACCTCCCATGCCTAGGGCTACCAGACCCCCCCTGCAATCTCATCCCACCTGGTTTCCGTCTTTGCCTACTCCCCCAGTCAGGAGTATAGCTGACTCCTCCCCCTGGAAATTGATTAAAGGAACCTTCATGGTACTGAACTCCACACAGCCAGATCTCACCCAATCCTGCTGGCTATGCCTTATTATGAAGGGATAGCAGTTAATGGGACTTATGCTGTGAAGACGCAGAGTTCCAACTGTAGTTGGGGCGAAAATCCTAAGTTAACTCTCCCAGAAGTGACCGAGGCAGGTTTATGTCTAGGGTCCCCACCCAAAAGTAAACAACACATATGTTCCCAGATAGGAGAAATCAATGCTACACAGGTCTTTCTAGTCCCTGAGAAAGGAACTTGGTGGGCATGTGACTCAGGATTAACTCCTTGCATTTCAGCCCAGGTGTTTGACAGCTCCGTAAACTATTGTGTAATGGTGCAAATACTCCCCAGGGTGCTTTATCATGATGCAGAATCCTTTGAAGGTCTAGTAGGGGGACAAACAACCCGTTTCCGCCGAGAACCAGTGTCCCTCACTCTAGCCATCCTATTGGGAATAGAAGCGGCTGCAGGAGTCGGTACGGGAGCAGCCGCTATGATCCGGGGGTCACAACAAATGGCCCAGTTAGAAACAGCAATAGATCAGGACTTGAAGACATTAGAGACCTCTATCACAGCCTTACAGGAGTCTCTAACCTCTCTCTCTGAGGTTGTTTTACAGAACAGGCGAGGATTAGATCTTCTCTTTATGAGGGAAGGAGGCCTCTGTGTAGCAATAAGGGAAGAATGTTGTTTTTACGCTGACCATACTGGAGTTGTAAAAGAATCCATGAGTAAGTTAAGAAAACGCCTTGATGAGCGACAGAGAGAAAGGGAGACTCAACAAGGGTGGTATGAGTCTTGGTTTGCCCAGTCCCCCTGGTTAACTACACTCCTATCAGCCCTAGCTGGACCCTTGATTATTCTTATGCTGTTACTGACTGTGGGACCCTGTTTGCCTAACCGTATAGTTTCTTTTCTCCAGGCTCAGATTGGACAGGTGAAACTCATGGTACTCAGACAGCAATATGCTCCACTGGCAGTAATGGAACATGAAACCCTTCAATAATTGTGATGCATTACTTTTAAGATTAAAAGTAGTCAGAAAAAGGAGTGGGGAATGTAAGGGTAAAAGAAATTGAAGTTAAAGCATAAAAGTTAAAGGGTAAAAGACCGGGTGTTGTAAAGTTTATAAGCTGCAAGGTCTGAGTTAAAATGTAAAGGATTAGGTATTGTTAGGTTCTATGCTACCTGCAAAACCTGAAATTTCTGTAGCTGTTGAGACAATGCTTGGAACCGCCCAGTAAATATTTCCCCTGACTATTGGTTGTTTAATAAGGGCTCTGTGTGGTCGCCCGTAGGCATTGCAGGGCCTGGACCAATCAGTTTAAATGTAACCCCCTCCTTAGGAATGACCTATCACTCCAGCATGACCTGTTCCCGCCAATGAATGAACCAATCATGTTTAGGAGTTGTTATTCAGTTTTCCCGTGCCTCATGATGATTTGTTCTGATGTATACAAAGCCCTCCGCCCTCCCCAAAAAGTGTACTTAAGCAGTGCTCAGCCCCTGCTCGGGGCTCTGGGCTGCTTTCCCTTCTTGAGTGGGCACGGAGCCCCAGCATGCTGGTTCAATAAATCCCCCTTCTGCCAATTGAAAAAAAAAAGAATAAACAAATGGGACTTACTTAAACTAAAAAGTTTTTTCTCAGCAAGAGAAACAATAAGAGAGATAAATAGAGAGACTACATCCTGGGAACAGATTTTTACCCCTCACACTTCAGATAGAGCCCTAATATCCAGAATATACAAAGAACTCAAAAAATTAAACAATAAGATAACAAATAACCCAATCAACAAATGGGCCAAGGACCTGAACAGAAACTTCACAGAGGAGGACATACAATCAATCAACAAGTACATGAAAAAATGCTCACCATGTCTAGCAGTCAGAGAAATGCAAATCAAAACCACCCTAAGGTACCATCTCACTCCAGTAAGATTGGCAGCCATTATGAAGTCAAACAACAATAAGTGCTGGTGAGGATGTGGGGAAAAAGGGTACACTTGTACACTGCTGGTGGGACTGCAAATTGGTGAGGCCAATTTGGAAAACAGTATGGAGATTCCTGGGAAAGCTGGGAATGGATCCACCATTTGACCCAGCTATTGCCCTTCTCGGACTATTCCCTGAGGATCTTAAAAGAGCGTACTATAGGGATACTGCCACATCAATGATCATAGTGGCACAATTCACTATAGCTAGACTGTGGAACCAACCTAGATGACCCTCAATATATGAATGGATTAAAAAATGTGGCATCCATACACAACAGAGTATTACGCAGCACTAAAAAATGACAAAATCATAGAATTTGCAGGGAAATGGATGGCATTAGAGCAGATTATGCTAAGTGAAGCTAGCCAATCCTTAAAAAACAAATGCCAAATGTCTTCTTTGATATAAAGAGAGCAACTAAGGACAGAACAGGTAGGAAGAGCATGAGGAAAAGATTAACATTAAACAAAGACGAGTGGGGGGAGAGAAAGGGAGAAAGAAGGGAAAACATATGGAAATGGTAGGAGACCCTCAATGTTACACAAAATTACATATAAGAGGTTGTGAGCGGAAAGGGGGGGGAAACAAGGGAGAGAATTGAACAACAGCAGATGAGGTAGAGAGGGAAGATGGGAGGGGAGGGGAGGGGGACAGTAGGGGATAGGAAAGATAGCAGAATACAACAGTCACTAATATGCCATTACGTAAAATGTGAATGTGTAACTCATGTGATTCTGCAATTCATATTTGGCGTAAAAATGGGAGTTCATAACCCAATTGAGTCAAATGTATGAAAGATGATATATCATGAACTATGTAATGTTTTGAACAACCAATAAAAAAAGAATAAAACTTAAAAAAAAATTAAAAAAAACCAGCATGGATAAATCTCAAAATTTTTTGTTGTATGATATAAGCCTTCCCTAGAATATATATTGAATAAATGATTTCATTTATATGATTTTGTAGAACAAATAAAATTATTTGTGCAGATTCAAAAATAAATAAATAAATACATATATGTGTATTTTTATGTATTCTACTCTCACCCCACATACTTTTCTACCCTAAATTACTTCCTGTCTATTTTCTTGGTACTAACCCTCTTCATTAGATTTCTCTTTCACACTTCCTAAGATACATTAACTCTATATCCTCACATCCTTTCTCCTCAGCATATTGTCCTACTCCTCACCCCCAGTTCATTGTCCAACATCAGAAACTATAATCCTTTTTATGAAACTATTGATCATATTTTAGATAATAATTGAATCCAAAATTTCTGCACATTGAGACTAAACTGTAAATTTCTTAATAAGAACAAATTGTACATAGTGATATATTGTGGATATTGGGAATAGTTAATATTGTCCTTCCCCACAAAAGTGGGATCTTGAAACCCTATAAGGGCAATACAGACCTATAGAGTAATAACACACCAGACTTGCAGAGCTGGAAAGGAAGACACATGAGCAACATGAAAGATAAGGGAAGAAAGTAACAGAAACAAATCAAGACACCACATCATTAGAATCATTGGCAGCCACAGCAGAAAAAATGACAAAAAAAGAGTTCAGGATATACATGGTTTAAATATTCTGTGAACACAAAGAAGATATAAGAGAGCAAATACAAGCAGTGAAAGATCACTTTGACAAGGAGCTGCATAAACAAATCTAAGAAGCAAAATATAACATCAACAAGGAGATAGAGGTTCTAAAAAACAAAAGAAAAAGAAAAAAACAGAAGTCCTTGAAATAAAAGAAACAATAAACCAAATTAAAAGCTCAAATAAAAGCATCACAAACAGAGTAGACCACTTAGAAGACAGGACATCAGATAATGAAGATAAAATATGTAATCTTGAAAAGAACATAGACCACACAGAGATAATGGTAAGAAACAAGAGCAGAGCATTCAAGAAATATCAGATACCATAAAGAGACCAAATTTAAGATGCATTGGGATACAGGAAGGCATAGAGGTCCAAAACAAAGGAATGAACAATCTATTCAACAAAACTTAAAGAATGAATTGGAAATTCAAATTCAAGAAGCCAAATGTACAAAATCACAACAGATTCACACCAAGGCATATTATGATAAAAATGCCCAACATGCAGAATAAGGAGAGAATTTTAAAAGTCACTAGAGAAAGGAATCAAATTACATATAGGGGAAAACAAATTAGGATAACAGCAGATTTTTCAACACAGACCCTGAAAGTTAGAAGATCCTTGAACAACATATATCAATCTCTGAAATAAAATGAGTGGCAACCAAGAATCTTATATCCAGCAAAATTAAGGTTTAGATTTGAAGATGAAATAAAAACATTCCACAATAAAAAAAAGTTAAAATAATTTATAGCTAGAAAATTGGCACTACAAAACATCTTTGACAAAATATGCCTTCAAGAGGAAATGTAATACAACAATGAAAATCAGCAGAGGGAGGTAGTACCCTAAAGGAAAAACAAATCCAAAAAGAAAATCAAGGCAAGTTAAATAACAATAATAAATAAATATGGCTGGAAATACAAACCATGTCTCAATAATAACCCTGAATATGAATGGCTTAAACTCACCAATCAAAAGACACAGGTTAGCAGACTGGATTTAAAAAGCCCACTTATATGCTGCCTATAGGAGATTCATCTGATTGGAAAAGACATGCACAGACTGAAGCTGAAAGATTGGGAAAAATCATACCACTCACAAGGACTGAGGAAGCAAGCAGGGGTTTCCATCCTCATATCAAATAAAGTAGACTTCAAGCCAAAGTTAATCATAACAATGGACATTAAATACTGCTCAACGAAACCATACACCAACAAGACAAAACAATCATAAATATATATGCCTCAAACATTGAAGCAGCTGTTCATCAAACAATTTCTTCTCAAGTTCAAGAGTCAAATTGACCACAACACAATGATCTTGGGTGACTTTAACACACTTCTCTCACCACTGGATAGATCTTCAAAACACATTTGAATAAAGAATCTATAGAACTCAATAATACAATCAATAACATAGACTTAACTGACATATATAGAATTTTTCAACCTGCATCAAGTGGATACACTTTCTCCTCAGCAGCACATGGATTCTTCTCTAAAATAGACCATATATTATGCCACAAAGCAACTCTTAGCAAATACAAAAATGTAGAGATACTACCATGCACTTTATCAGGTCATAATGGAGTGAAACTGAAAATTAACAAAAAAATAATAAAAATTTCTCCATTACCTGGAGACTAAACAATATGCTACTGAATGAACATTGGGTTACAGAGGTTACATCAAGGATAATATTAAAAAATTCTTAGAGGTAAATGAGAACATAGACACAACATATCAAAATCTCTGGACACTATAAAAGCAGTACTAAGAGGAAAATTCATTGCATGGAGTTCATTCCTTAAAAGAAGAAAAGGTCAACAAATAAATGACCTCACACTACATCTCAAAGCCCTAGAAAAAGAAGAATAAATCTACAGCAAAAGAAGTAGAAGGCAAGGAATAACAAAAATTAGTTATTATTAGAGATGAAATCATGAAACAAAACATAACAAACAATTGAAAAAATTGACTAAACAAAAAGTTGTTTTTTTAAAAAAATAAGTCAAATTGAAAGACCCTTAGCTATGCTAATAAAGAGAAGGAGAGAGACAACTCAAATTACCAGCATAAATTATGAAAAAGTTAATATCACAACAGACACTACAGAAATACAGAGGATAATTAGAAATTACTTTGAAAACTTATACTCCAATAAAATAGAAGATAGTGAAGGCATCAATGAATTTCTTAAGTCATACGACTTTCTCAGATTGACTTCAAGCCAAAGTTAATTGTAATGATAGACATTGCATACACACATTAAGATAAACACAATTTAAGCAGACAAATATCAAGTGATGAAATAGAAGATCCCAACAAAAGAGTACCAACCAAGAAAAGCCCAGAACTGGATGGTTACACAGCCGAGTTCTACAAGACCTTTAAAGAAGAACTAATACCAACACTCTTGAATTTATTTCAGGAAATAAAAAAGAAGTACTGCCAAACTCATTCTACTAGGCCAATATCACCCTGATTCCAAAACCAGGCAAAGTCACATGAAAGAAAGAAAACTTTAATCCAATATCTCTAATGAACATAGATGCAAAAATTCTCAATAAAATTCTGGCAAATCAAATACAAAAACATATCAAAAAGATCATGCAACATAATCATGTGGGATTCATTCCAGGATTGCAAGGTTGGATCAACATATGGAAATCAATAAATATAATTCATGACATCAATAGATTTAAATATAAGAAATTATCATTTCAATAGATGCAGAAAAAGCATTTGACAAAATACTGCACTCTATGTTCAAAACACTATAAAAACTAGGGATAACAAGAAAATAACTCAACATCGTAAAGGCTATCTATGCTAAGCCCCAGGCCAGCATCATTCTAAATGGGGCAAAATTGAAATCATTCCCTCTAAAAACTGGAACAAGACAGGGAAGCCTTCTCTCACCATTTCTACTTAACATAGTCCTTGAAACACTGGCCAGAGAAATTATACAAATGAGAGAAATTAAAGAGATATGTATAGGAAAATAAGAACTTAAATTAACACTATTTGCTGATGATATGATTCTATACCTAGAAGTCCCAAAAATCTCCACCAGAAAACTTCTAGAACTAGTAAACAAATTCAGCAAAGTAGCAGGTTATAAAATCAACACCCATAAATGAAAGGCATTTCTGTATATCCGTGACAAATCCTCTGAGAAGGAAATAAGGAAAATTATGCCATTTACAATAGCCTCAAAAACATAAAATACTTGGGAATCAACTTACTGAAATCACTGAAAGATCTATACAATAAAAACTACAGAACCCTAAAGAGAGAAATCAAAGAATACCTTAGAATATGAAAAGATCTACCTTGCTCTTGGATAGGCAGAATTAATATTATCAAAATGACCATGTTTCCAAAAGCACTGTATAGATTTAATGCAATTCTGATTAAAATACCAATGGCATTCCTCATAGAAAAGAAAAAGCAATCATGAAATTCATCTGGAAATATAAGAGACCCAGAACAGCTAAAGCAATCCTTAGCAGGAAGGGTAAAGCAGGTGGCCTCACTATACCAGAACTTAAACTATACTACAGAGCAATAGGAAAAAAAAAGACAGCATGGTATAGGCACCAAAACAGACTGGTAGACCAATAGTACAGAATAGAGGACACAGAGAAACTATAATTATCTGAGACAAAGGTGCCAAAAACATGCATTGGAGAAAAGATAGCCTCTTCAACAAACGGTGCTGGGAAAATTGGAAATTCATATGCAACAAAGTTAAATTAAACCCCTATCTCTCACCATGCACAAAAGTTAACTCAAAATGGATCAAGGACCTAGTAATTAAACCAGAAACCCTACATCTAATAGGAAAAAAAGTAGGCCTTAATCACCATCATGCAAGATTAGGCCCCAACTTCTTTAATAAGACTCCTATAGCACAAGAATTAAAACCAAGAATCAATAAATGGGAAGAAACCAAACTAAAAGTTTCTTCTCAGCAAAAGAAACAATCTGTGAGGTGAAGAGAGAGCCTACATCCTGGGAGCAAATTTTTACCCCTCACACCACACATCAGACAGAGCACTAATCTCTAGGGCATATAAAGAACATAAAAAGCTAAACACCAAAAAAACAAATAACCCAGTAAATAAATGGGCCAAGGACATGAACAGACACTTCTCAGAAGAGGATATTCAATCAATCAACAAATATATGAAAAAATGTTCATCATCTCTAGAAATTAGAGAAATGCAAATCAAAACCACTCTAAGATTTCATCTCATTCCAGTCAGAATGGCAGCTGTTATGAAGACAAACAACAAGTGATGGGGAGGATGTGGGGAAAAGGTACACTCATATGTTGCTGGTGGGACTGAAAATTGGTGCAGCCAAATTGGAAAGCAGTATGGAGATTCCTTGGAAAGCTGGGAATGGAACCACCATTTGACCCAGCTATCACTCTCCTGGGTCTATACCCAAAGGACTTAAAAACAGCATACTACAGGGACACATCCACATCAATGTTTATAGCAGCACAATTCACAATAGCTAAATGGTGGAGCCAACCTAGATGCCCTTCAGTGGATGAATGCATTAAAAAAATGTGACATATACACACAATGGAATTTTGCTCATCAATAAGAGAAAAAAGCCATGGCATTTGAAGGTAAATGGATAGCACTGGAGAAGACAATATTAAGTGAACTTAGTCAATCCCAGAAAATTAAATGTTGAATGTTTTCTCTAATATAAGAAGGCTGCCTCATAGTGAGGTAGGGAGGGGGAGCATGGGAGAAATGGATGAATTCTAATTAGGCAAGGGGGTGGGAGGAAAAGGGAGGGGGCACAGATTAGCAAGGATGGTGGACTCTGATAGTCAATGTTATCCAAAGTACATGTATGAAGACATGAATTGGTGTGAATGTAATTTACATACAAACAGAGGTACGAAAAATTGTTCCATATGTGTAATAAAACTTGTGATGCCTTTTGCTGCCATGTATTTAAAAAAATAAAACAAATTGAAAAAAAAACAAATATATACACACAGGGACACAAAGATTAACATGTGTACTGTGCAGCCTGACCTGAGAAGGTGGAGAGAGACACTCCTGACTCCATAAGAGAACAGCATGGGATGATCTGAGGCAGAAGAGACCTCCAGATTCTCCATGATGGGATCCAGGGACACACTGATCACCTGGAGAGAAACCATCCACTCTCCTATGCTGCTCTGAAGGGGGCACCTGAGGTCCTGTGTGCTGAGCGCCCTCTGCTGGCCCTGGGCACCGTGCAGGAGGTTTGTGTCTGGGCTCAAACTGAGATCCCCTCACTGTGTCTCTGGCACAGTAATAGGTGGCCGTGTCCTCAGCTCTCAGACTGCTCATTTGCAGGTACAGTGTGTTCTTGGAGTTCTCTCTGGAGATGGTGAATCGGCCCTTCACAGAGTTGGCATAGTTTGTTGTACCACCACTTGGGTTAATTTCTCCAACCCACTCCAGCCCCTTCCCTGGAGCCTGGCGGACCCAGCTCATCCAGTAGTTACTGAAGGTGAATCCAGAGGCTGCACAGGAGAGTCGCAGGGAACCCCCAGGCTGCACCAGGCCTCCCCCAGACTCCACCAGCTGCACCTCACACTGGACACCTGCAAACACAGAGGCAGCCTGGTCAGGACACTGGCACTCATCCACTCTCCCTTTGACTCCTGTCCACTCACACACTCAGGATCTCTGGTTCTCCATTCATTACCTTTGAAAACAGCCACCAGGAAAACCCAGCTGAGCACACTCTCCATGGTGAGCAGCTGTGTTCAGTCCTGATCACTGAGTGGGCTGAGCTGGGAGTCCAGGGCTGGGCTCCTGTGCAGAGCTGCAGGGTCAGGTGGGCTGGTTTTCATGAGCAGAGGGAGGCCCTATTTGCATGTCCTCCTGCTATATAGCAGCTCTGGCTGGAGGCCTTAGAGACATCTGTGCTCAGAGAAAACTTGAACATGTTAGAGAAGGTTGGTGGCATTTTATTCATGAAAGATTAGCTCATAGTATTAAACTTGTTGTTCACACTGTCCAGGAAGATGTAAGTGACAGGAATAGCCCAGTGTCTAGGCATGTGATTGTCCCTTCAATTCCTCTGCTCCATGAAGCAGCTCATGGACAGTACTGGACAGGGCTTGTGGGGTCTCTGGAGCCCCTTCTTGGATGAAGAACAGGGTGTGGGTTTGCAGAACCCAGTGTCCATCTAAGGATCATGAAGGTCCTGGTGGATGACAGTCCATCTTCAGAATTCTGGGCCACTGTCAGCTCACTGCGTCTGCCTCTGGCTTCCCACTCCCCTCTGCACCTTTGGCTGACTTGAAGCAGCTCTACTGATACATAAGAGTGTGAGCACAGCTGTGCCATCGTCCCCACCAGGGCAGCATTGAGGTCAGTGTGGAGCACAGGTCCCTGGACCCTTGTCCTCTCAGCTTCAGTCTGTGATGGTGCAGATGAGGAAAGTCCTTCAGCTGGGACCACAGATGTGGACAGCTCAGCTTGGCCAGCTCTCCCCTCTGCTCTACAGACCCATATGCTGTGTCCCCAGGCAGTATATCCCCACTGTCTGCAGCAGCTACAGCGTCCCAGATACCAGGAGCATCCCTGCAGTGCACCTGGATTTGGGCTTCTCCTTCATCCTGGAACAAAGTGCATGGACACTGTGCAGCCCTCCCCAGCCCACATGTGAAGCACCTGTCCTGCATTCCCTGGTCTTTGGGCCTCTCTGTCTCTGGGGACATCTGACTGGGGCAGAGCAAGTGGAAACCAGGCTGCTCTTCCCAGAGTCACTGCTGCTGTCCCTCAGGGTCAACCAGACACTTGGCCTCTGATCACCTGAACAGGATCTCAAGTGTTCTCAGACATTGGGCTTCTTGGCCTGTGGTTCTGGGGGCAGAGCTAGTGCAGGAGAAGCCATGTGGGTCACACTGGGTCAACCAGGAGAGGACAGGTCCACTTTTCAAGGTCCTGGGCTTGAAGAGGGTTAATCAAGTGAGTCCCTGTCACTGGTGGGTCAGCTCCAAGGTGGCTTTGTTTCACCACAGATGTGCAGTGGGTCTCCTTCAGTTCAGGCAGTCACATGATAAGGAAGGTCACCTTGTGGAGGCAGCCCTGTGTGTCCTTTATGGTCATGGTGGAGATGCCCTGGCATGTCACAGAGGTCACTGTGGGAGGTGAAGCAGCACAGCTGGTCACTAAGGTCACAGAGCTGTGATCTCCTGCTCTCTCAGACCCAGGAGAGAACCTTCCCATCACCAGGAGCCTTTAGTTCCCTTTAACTATTGATGTGTCTCATGGAGACCACAGTTGAACTGTGTCCTTGTGAAATTTGATGACATCTTTGTCAATGCAGGTAATTAGGAATCTAGCAGATGATGGGGTTTACTGGTGATGCCCCAGGTGTGGATCAATGCCACTTCAATGGGAGACTCCCCAGGGCTGGTAGAGGCTTCCTGGCACCCTGAGCCCCAGTGGGACCCCAGCACCACTCAGGGGTCCAGCCTCGTCTGCCTCTCTTTGCCTCCTGCCTCCTGCCATGTGGTGCTGCAGCCTCAGGAGCCCTGGTCAGCAGCAACACCTGGGTGTTTGTACCCTGGTCTCCAGAACCTGCTGCAGCACAGCTCTTTCCTTGTGAATCCTCAGCCTCAGGAGTGACCTAGAGTAGTAGGGACTGATGCTGGACAGGACCTCTGCCCAGTGCGCACAGCTGTTGGAATGTACAGTCCACAAGATGTTTCCTTACTCCTCTCCCAGGGCTGTTGAGCCTTATTCTTGATCACATATTGGCCCTTAATGCACTTGTAGAAAATATGCATTCTATACAGGAAGATTGCAATTTAGCACAAAAGAATGGCATTCTGTCCCTCCTGGCATGGCCAGGAGCACATGGACCTAGCTGTAAGGCAGAGGGAGACCATCACCACACCATCCCTCATGTGGGGAAGCTACTGCAGCAGGTCCTGGAAAGAGAGAGGACAGTGGCCTCTTGAGATTGGAAGGTGCAGGGAGGGTAAGGGTGAGGGTGGGTGGTGAGGGCCATGTGCAGAGAGGGCCTTGTCCTGGGGCTCTGCAGATCACAGGGCAGCTGTGGCCCACAGCCAGGCTGTGCTTCACAGTGACTGGAGCAGAGCAGCTGGTGGGCTCCCCACACCAAGGAGGCACAGCCTGGGATCCACCATGGCACCTGGCATCTGGCACCCCTGTGTCAGGGTGCTGTCCTCTGCCTCAGTAGAGCTAGGTTTAGAGTAACTGTGAAAATTCGGCTGGAATCACCAGCTGTTGTCTGATGGAGTGAGATGCTGACATTCTTAATGATGTGGCTGATGAGATATCATTACATATGTAAGAAAAATATAACATATATTTGCTCATTCTGCCATCGAAGATAGCTGAAGAAGGAATTTTTCATTATTTCCATGGATTTAGGTTTCGAGATAGAGAAGCACTGTATGCCTGGGGTTTATATTTAATAATGCCCATCTACAGTTGCTTAGCTTAACATGTTTGGCAACACAAAAATTGGGGTAATTGAATCCACTAAACTACTGATGAGATCAACATGGCATAAAATAAAAACAAATGAAATGGACTATTATTCCATGCATGGCTGTGAACTAATCTGTAGCCTAGTCTGAGGCAAAATTTGTGAAATCCATTATTTGACCACGTAAGTAACCAATTGGTTTATGTTGGAATAACTTTCCGTTTACAGCTAGCAGCTAGCAGCTATGAGCAGCTTGGAGTGCTTGAAGAATCTGCACTCGTTCAGGCCTGATAGGAAGGCCTGCAGGATGGGATGCTCTGCTCTAGTGAGCCGTCAGTGAAACCACATCCTTAGCTTTGTGGTTAGCATTGCCAAGCTGCCAGGCCAGGAAACTGATAGCTAGTGTTAGACCAGGACACAAGAAAAGACCACTGACTCCAATTAAAATCAAATTAAAGCAAGCTTATTATTTCAACAAGCCGGGCTGCCTCTCCCACCCAAAACCACAGGAACAAGACAGCCCCGCAGCTTTCTTGCAGTATAGCTTTATAGCCCAGAAAGTTACACAAAGGGGGTTACAGATAACAAAACTTTGATGAGCATAACATTTTTGCTGGCCCCGGCATCAGAATTTATGAAGGTCATTAGAGCCTCAGAGAGGGTCATTATCCGGCCAGGGAAGGCCAAGAGTTAGGAGGCATCACTAAATTTCAGAGGGCTGGTATCTGGTCAAAGAGCCAGGCATGTGTGAGTTCAAGGCATGGGCAGACATTCCAAGTAGGCTCAAAATTTGCAGTAATTTATAATGAAGCTGAAGTTAGCTTTTCCTGGCTTTGTGGTGAGATGGTTCCCAATTTTAAGAGAAAATCAGGTTGGGTCTATCACTAGGAGCTTCAACATGGAACTCCTAACATAGAAACCCCCTCCTCTAGGGACAAAGACCCTTCCTGATGATAGCAATATTTAGAACATCCTCCTAGTGTGGTTACATTAGGCATAAGATGATTGGCTTATGGATACTATCTTGCTTGTGTATGATTGATGGGCACGCCCCATTTAAACCCTATAACAATTGTATGCATTCCAAAAATAAACTGAGCTACTGGACGACGACATGAGGTGGGTCTCCAGCCAGTTCTGTCACCAGCTACTGGAGTCTGTGTGTTGATTCCACATCTCTACTCCCCCACCCCCACCCCCCCACTACCCCCCATCCCTGAGACAGGTAGCTGAGCAACTAATTGACAAGAACCACAGCAGGTTTATCTCAGCTTGAATTTGTATATAATGATTATGCAACTCTGAGAAGCTAAAGCTTTAAAAACATCTCACCACATTTATTTTATCTTCAGTTTCTTTTGCTAAGTCATCATAATTACCTGAATGTAAAGAAAATCATTTACATATCAACTAATGTGCTCATATTTTTAAAAATTCTTCTTTTTATAAAAAATTAAAAAAAATTCTCATTGATTTCTAATTATTAAATTGTGCACTTTTGTTTGTTGTGAGATTTTAGGAAGTTTGCAACTATCAACTACTTATTTACTATGGAAATTTGCTTAAAATTTATACTAAATTAAACTGCGTTTACTGGCAAAACATTTATGAGTAGTCTATCTACTAGCAGCTTCTTTCTTTAATCCCAAATGTTGAGATATTTAAAACTGTTGATATCTTTTCAGGATTTATTTAAAAGTTTTAAAGTACATGTATTTATTGAATTATATATGAGCCTATGTGTTTTATATATGTGTTCATATTTGGAATTTAAAAGTGCAATGGATAATTTGTTTAGATAAAATTAATTGGATATGAAAGAAAAAAAACCTTTTCAACCTACAAATTCCTGAAATCTAATTTACATAAATACATTCTAATATTATACTCAGAATAGCAGGCTTAAACTCTAATACAGACTCTCTGCAGATGAAGGAGGTCATGTTTAGCGAAGGTGACCCCAGTATTCACCAGGGCTCAGGAAATAGCTGAGTGATCCCCCTGAGCAAGTCTTGAGGTTTCAATGAGGCAGAGGACACAGGAAGTAGAACATTGTGGAAATTGAAGCACTCAGAAAATGCCCTGTGGATGCAGATGCAGTATATACTGTTTTGCAAGAGCAAAACCTTTTATTTAAAAAATAGAACAGAGAGAGAGGGACAGAGGGTCCTCTGCAGAGGAGGGGTCCAAGTTGGTGCCTGAGGGAGTGGGGGTCCTGCCCCTTACAAAGAGTTTAGATTTCCTCTGTTCTCATCCCCTCCTCCCCCCAACCTGACCCTGTGACACAAAAGGTGGAGGGATCCAGAGTGGGAAAGGAGCTCCCCAAGGGTGCAGCAGGAAGGGAGCTG